TCTTTTTTGGTCATATTTTTTCTTCCCAGGTCCGATACTCGTGCCAGTGATTATATTGCTGATGACTCAGGAATCCTTGTGTCTCATAAATAAAATCTGAAGAAATTCTTTCTTATAGCATAAGTCTTATAAGATTGCTTAATTGACTATAAATTGTCTTTGCATCTTGGCAAGACAGAGTCTATTCTTCTTTGGTTTAAGTTTCAACTTAAACTGGCCCTAGCCTCCAGGTCACATGTAATGGTACTGCTATAAAGTACACATCTTTTGTTAAGTATTTAGGTGCAAATCTGGATCAAATTCTTTTGGCGTCGCCCTTTGATGCTTTGCATCAATGATTTTCTTGTGTTCAGTTCAGATGATATACTGTTCGGTGCACAAGTCATTTGACAATGCGCTGAGTGGTCATACAATTATGTTGGGTTCATTCGGATATCTTCGCGTCAAACAAGATGGCGGGCGGGAGCAACTAATTTCCATAGGTCACGTCGAGGCTAATGACCACTAAAATTGCCAAAACAATTACCTATTTGAGTCACACATGGCCACAGTATATAGAACGTTAAATATAAGTATGGAAACCCCATTTGAGACACACATGACCACAGTAAATGGAACATTATATATAAGTAAGCGTAGCCTAATAAAGTCAAACATGGCCAAAGTATAAAGAAAATTTTATATAAGTAAGTGAAACCTAATTGAGTCACACATGGCCACAATATATTAGACATAATGTTTAAGTCAGGGAAATGTATTTGAGTCTAATTTTATTAGGCTACCCTTACTTATATATAATGTTCCATATACTTTAGTTATGTGTGACTCAAAAAGATTTCCCTTACTTAAACATAATGTTCCATATATTTTGGCCTAGTGTGACTCAATTAGGTTTCCCTTACTTATATAGAATGTTCTTCATAATGTGGGTATGTGTGACTTTATTTCACTACCTTTACTTATATTTAATGTTCCATATACTGTGGCCATGTGTGACTCAAATAAGTTTCCCTTTACTTAAATATTATGTTCCATACTATTGTGGTTATGTGTGACTCAAATGGGTTACCAACAAATACATTTTAAGTTGTATATGCTGTGGCCATATGTGACTTTAATAGGCTACCCTTACTTATATATGCTCCATATACTGTGGCCATGTGTGACTCAAATAGGGTTCCCTTACTTGAATATGATGTTTTATATTTTAAATTTCGTTTGCTGTGTCCATTTGTGACTCTTATAGGTTACCAAACAGATAAATTTTAAGTTTTATTTACGGTGGTCATGTGTGACTTTAACAGGCTACCCTTACCCATATTTTAAGTTTTATATACTGTACCCATTATGACTGTAACAGTATAGTATAGTCATGAATTAACTAAATAAATACCCATAGGGTATTTAAAAGTCCAATTTATGAAAATAACGTTCTTAAGCCCCCGATAATATTTACAGGGAAGAAAATTGTTTTGGCAATTTAGTGGTCATTAGCCTCGACGTGACCTCTCCCATCTTGTTGCCCGAAAATATCCGAATGAACCCAACATAATGGTTGTATCACACAACAGTTTTGTGTTCACTATTGAACATAATGACCTCTGCACCGAACAGTATATCATCTGAACTGAACATAATGATAGTACCAAAAAAACCACTGAAACATAACGACCTTTTGCACCGAACAACACATTGACTTGACTGAAGAAGATATAATCAGCACACAAGATAATGATAGTACCATTTAAGATAATGATTGTACCATTTTAACAGTTCTATTTCACGACTGAACAGAAGGAATAAAGAACCCAACAGCATGTCATTGCAACTGAAAAATAATAAAAGTATCACCCAATAATCACACTGCCTCAACCAAACAAAATGATAGTACCACTCAATTGTTTATTTTCATGGTTGAACATGATGAGAAGAGCCACAAAACAGCATATTATTATAACCGAACATAATAACTGTAACACCCTACAACATATCTTTTTAACTCAACATAATTGTGTTTCCACATGCCTGTTTGTTTTAAGAACTGAACATAACGACTTATGCACCCGATAATACATTGATTTGACTGAATAAAATACAGTCAGCACACAACATAGCACTTCAATAACTGAGCACATTATGATTTCCACCCAGCATTTTGTATCTCGGACTCAACAGAAAGACATTTAACCAGGTATATCATTCATTCTTAACATAAGACAGTCCAGGCGTTCCATACCATATGTCTTACCTAAATTTAACATGTATCCATTTCTTTCTTACACTAAACACAGCTAGTATTGATATACATGTATGTGCTCATATAGTTCTTTTACACAGCGAATTTACACCGAAGATACACTTGTCTTACGCATACCACGTGTTAAATTGTGTGAACTGGTATCAGCTTCGTTAAAATGGGATTTCTTTTTCAAAACAGCTTGCATTAATTAGCTCTAAAAATGTTAACTAAATTTAATTTAAGATGTTTATGCACCAGTCAATTAATAATTCACGTCTAAACACCGGTTACCGATAATTTCTGTACATAATTCACCTAAATGGTACGGAAGAGCATTAGTGCTAGGTGTATGTTTTTTATTAACTCGAAATTTCGAGTTACTTACTCGAAATTTCGACTTACTTATCTCGAAATTTCGAGTTACTAACTCGAAATTTCGAGTTACTTATCCCGAAATTTCGAGTTACTTATCTCGAAATTTCGAATTAGTAACTCGAAATTTCGACATACTAACTCGAAATTTCGAGTTACTTATCTCGAAATTTCGACTTCGTAACTCGAAATTTCGACTTAGTAACTCGAAATTTCGACTTACATTGCACGACTTTCATTGGTTGCCGGTGAAAGCAAGGATTGAATTCAAGATACTTTTTTTTCGTTTGTAGCTGTTGCGCATTGATAGAGCACCTTTAACATTTAACAGACCAATTTAATAGGGTCAAATTGTCCACACATACAGAACATATGCTTCGCTTTTTTGTGGAAGGGGGGGGGGGTGTAAAATAACACTTTCCACATTTCCTTGTTAACCGGATGTTTCTTTTTCTTAAGCACACATACAACCATCATGTGGTAAAACAACAAGTCCAAAACCTACCATTTTGTAAACTGTGCAATATCATGTGTTAAATAAGTTTTAAATGGCGTGTATACGCCAGTTGACTGTCACGTTTCTTTATACTAATAATGTTTTTGTAAGATTATTCATTATTTACTAATACTTGGATTCATATTGTGTTGATAAAACTTAATAAAAGTGGAACTTGTTGTTATATATATGTTTGGAATAATATAAAAGCGCCGGTTTTACAAGAAATATAGTCAGTCCAACAATTTTGACAAAGGCCTCAGCACGTCCTATTTTGGTCACGCCGCGATACTTTCCTCAGATGTCCCACACGTGAAGTATAGGATCGTTTTATTCACAGGGATGAGAAGAATATGATTAGTGAAAAGATATGTTCGAACAGATGGGATACAATACAACGTTTGAAGAACGCCTGAACGTACAAATTAAAGGAAGCCTTGTGTTTTTAGGTCGGGTGTGTACATGCCATTATTAAGTTTAAGTTTAATTTCAATAGTTTTTGTCCAGGCACCCGTTTCTCCATCTACATAGTTCAACGGCACTCCCTACTACATCTTATATCATCAAACTAATAACTTTGGCCATTCTTGTAATGTTAATAAGTCGAAATTTCGAGATAAGTAACACGAAATTTCGAGTTATTATGTCGAAATTTCGAGTTAATAAGTCGAAATTTCGGGTTAGTAAGTCGAAATTTCGAGTTAGTAAGTCGAAATTTCGAGTTAGTAACTCGAAATTTCGAGATAGTAAGTCGAAATGTCGGGTTAGTAACTCGAAATTTCGAGATAAGTAACTCGAAATTTCGAGTTACTGAGTCGAAATTTCGAGTAAGTGGGTCTTAATGACATTTTTATCGATTTTGAGATTTTTACACCAAATTAAAGCTCATGAAATATGCTTTCCAGCGAAAGAATTCATAGTTAGAAGAATTTTTTTTTCAAATATAACTGATTTCACAACGTCATGTTATACAAGTTTACGCAGAAAATATCTTTATTTATTATGGCAGGTCCGACTACGGCTGCTTTAATTTATAGATTTTCATTATAAAGAAATTCAGTTTTGTAAAATTTAAGATAGATAGTAAAGGGTTAGTGATATTTTTCTAATACATCAAATTTTCCCTCTTTAATTAATTTAAATAATTATAAAAATGAAAAGAAATATCACGTAATTACACGCTGTGTACTTCATACTGATTCCCCATAGTTAAAATATTAACATACCAGAAAACGGTGTTTAGCTAGTAAGTTTTTAAGATCAAGGTCATAGATTTGGAAGCGAAAACGAAACTAGAGATAATGTTGATCTTTATTTCGTATAGAAATGATATTTAGAGTATAAAATAACCGACACACCACTTTTTGTAAAATATTTTAGAAATTACAAATTTGATAAAAAGTTAAAAGCTGTGTTCGGATTTCAAAAAGTTAAATTAAGTTAACTGTTTGATTGAATGTTATGATTCACATGTGAATGAGGTTATCGATATCATTTGATTTATAAACTATTTATTGATATAGTTTAACATACTCTTTTTGTTAAAACAGTTTAACACATGCTGGTATTATCTTAAAATGGAGGTAACAGGAAGGAAATTAGAATCTGAAGATAAATCTGTTTTGTTTTGTGAACCATGTGAGGTCGAAAATTCGAAAACATCAGCAAATGGGGCGTGCCGGGAATGCAAGGAATATATGTGTGCCACGTGCTTCCGACATCATTTAAAGAGCAAACAATGTAGAAATCATGTGTTGCTTTCCCTTGAAGAGTTTTCGTCACTTACGCTAGATTGTGGATCAGAATATGTCATTAAATGTAAGAAACACGACGATGAAATCATTAAATTTTATTGTCGTTCACATGATGTCACTGGATGTGGAGACTGTATAGTTTTAGAACATACATCATGTAAACCGGAATATATCAAGGACTTGGCGAAGCCATTCACAGACGGAGATGTATACAAATCAATTGTAAAACGAGTTGAAGATCTCGGAAAGAAGAAATCCGATTGCGAACAAGATATTGAAAAAGGTAAGGAAAAAATTGGAAAGATGAATGAAAAGGCACTTAAAGAAATCCGTGAATTTAGAAAAGAAATTAATACATGTTTGGATGAAGCAGAGGCAAATCTCTTATCAGAAATGAAGAAAATGACAATGGAAAACACGGGGCAGCTGGAAAAGATTGAAAAAGGTTTACAGTCATTAACTTCTGAGCTTCAGACGATGACACAGATGCTCAACACACAACTCCATCATGGAAATGCATTATTTATCAACGCAGTTAATTGTAAGTCTAAACTTACCGACATGGAAACGATGTACGAAAACATAACAAAAGAAAAGGCCTTGAAAGAGTTTGAATTTGTCCGAATCAAACTTATGTCAGAGTTGTTGAAAGCTGCTGAACCGTTAGGAAGTCTGAAGTTTATTAAACGTAAGCATAAATATGGAAGTATTTAACGATCTTTTGGCAATTTATATAAACGAGTCTTAGTAGACATATAAGTTTTAACATTTGTATTTGATTTAAATAGGTATTTATCAATGTTTGTCAATGAAATGATCTCCTCGCGTCAAAATTGGCCACTTAGCCACACTTTAGGATCACTAATTTTATACATACTTATTTGGAAAATCTGAAGGGATCTCTTTTTTTCAAGATTGATAAACTCACACCAACAGGTGTCAGCTGCTGTATAGCAACTATAAAAAGTTGGCTTCATGTCAGTGTTGTTGGTCCTTCTAGATGATTGAGTCCAATACTTTCATATGTTGAAGATTGGAAACATGCTTGAGCCGAACCTAAGGGATGTGAGATAGGTTGAACCTTACGTTATCTGTAATAAACAGACTCAATCAAACATACTCTGTAATTTTCGCCTTTTGGAGTTTGTTTTAATCTCCCCTTTCATCGATTTCTTTTTTTATGTTTTACTCTATTTGTAAAAACAGCATTGCATAGTGTTTTAGATATTTTTTGCATAATTTGGTCTCATAAAATTCTATAATTGTTGTGTTAACCGAGACCTTTAGATAAAAATGACCTTATCCGTGCTTTATTTAGTTTACATAGATATAATTAGGAGAATTGATTTAAATCTTCAAATCTGCAACTTTCGAATATCCAGATTCATATTGAAAAGTAACATTGTCTAGTTGACCTCTACTCTACATTAGTTACATAAATCATGCCTGTCTAAATTGCCATGTTCGAGGGTCATTCATATTGCATATACTTTCATAAGAGCTCACTTTTTTATATTCTTCATTGCACATAAGATATAAAACCATGCAGGTCATGAAGTCCACCGAGAAAAGATTTGAATTCTTACATAGATCGGCTTAGGCACTTAAACAGAAAGATTTGCAAAAGATTGTTAAGAAATTTATTAAGAAATGAATTGAAAATATACTTACCCCGTTTTGTTTTCAATTTTGGACCACATTTTTACAATTATGATACTAGTAATTATTCTGAGAAAAAAAGAATGGTCGAAATTTGAAAACAAGATATATATTGTTCTAAACCTACTTCAAAATAAACATACGAAAATTTAATTCCAGTCTCGTAATGCCAAAAGTCTTAGTTTGTGGAGTGCTAAAATCTTGAAATTGATTGCCTTGAGTTAAGACATTTAGTATGTAGCATTTCGTAAAAGAAATATACCAAAGTAAAATAAGCCGCAACACATTTAAATATGCTCAGGTACCGGGATCACTCGGCATGTGTAGGGAAATTACTATAATTTTCAAATTTGGACCGTTTGTTCACTTGGCATTTGAATTTGACGTTTGATAACAGTGACATACTTTTATATTGAAGAACGTATCGTTCTTGATAGCACTTGATCTCAACTTAATGGTATCGTGAAAATTGATTATTGTCTGTAAAAGATTATTTGCAATTTTTTTGTATTTTTTTGCACAGCGTATAATCGGAATGTCGTTGAAATTATGTGTGTACCTGAAAGAAAAATAACCTATATCATATTATAAACTTCTGAATTGTCCATTTCCTAATGATTTTAATATGTGAATAATTGTTGCCTTTTTTAAATTTTACAAAACATTACTCATTAAACATTTTTTCCGAAGCAGTCATAGAAGTCATATATTCAATAAGTATTTGTTTCTTTTTGATGTATCATATTTTAATCATATTTAAATGATTTACGGTTTGTATGAACCTATTATATTAATTCTATAATGTATGTTTAAGGTTTTACAAAAAGTGAGTTTGTGGTTGGTTCTCGTGTACGCCGTGGTCCGGACTGGAAGTACGTGTATGGAAATCAGGTAAAAAATTATTATGATGTTCTAATGCACCCAAAAGAACACTGAATTCTAGAAGTTTTTTCTGAGGAAAGACTCCAACAAAACTCCAACGAAACAAGTACTTGCTATAACATAATAATTAAATTTGCTATCAAAATTATATTTTGCAAGCGTTTTCACACTTTAGTTACTTCAAAAGAAAACTTTTGTTTCTCCAGGACAGCAAGGTACATCTAGGAATAGTAACTGTAAAATTAATTTGAATTACCCTTTGTAAAATATGAATTAAGTCTATCCGGTAGTTTGCCCGAACATGGATATTCTCCAACTTAAATACATATTCATATATTTCTTTACCGTGTTTAACATTGTCCATGCATATTGCAGTTTAGAGGCTAATATATATTGAACTGCCATGGTGATGTCTGAACATCACTTGATATAATATTGTTGATATAATTAGGTTCTAATACTGAATCACCATAAGTGATTTAATCGGTTTAATATATAAAAACTGTAATAATAAATATATATAGAATGTCTTTTCTTAATGGTAAAATATATTTCAGGACGGCGGGCGACAAGGCACAATGATAGGATTTGGTATGGGCGGTTCGGCAAGAGTGAAATGGGATAATGGACATACATTTTCTTACCGTATTGGACAACAAGACTCATACGAAATTGAAATCATTTAGTTACTTTATCCGAAAATAAAATAACAACAACTAACAAACAAACCAAACAAAAACAGTAAATTATTTGAAAAAACGCAGTTATATATTATTATATTAAAACCGGTATTATCTTATAATATTTTGTCTTAACAGTATTTTATAATATACAAATATAATAACAAATAACTTCTACAAAGCTGTCATCTTCCTCAACCGCGATGTTTAAGTATTCTCAAGGCTTATGAAAGCATGCTGGCTTGAATACTTATTTGTAAGACAACATATTTGCGTTTTATCGCTGTATTTTATTTTATCAGTACATTTTAGATCAATGTTTTTATAATATACCACAATAAAATGAGTATCATTCATCCAACTTGTAATGACATAAAAACATATTTAGATAGACACCTAAGATATATATTATTTCATATGGTAATGTGGAAAGAGACATGTCATTGTTAGTTGTGACTTCCAAAACTTTAGAAGCCGCTTTTTAATATTTTTGTTTTTCATCTGATGCGGCATTAAAGTTTTGGATTAGACCCGTTACGAAACCTAACCAGAATAACATACGTTGATTTCACCTTATTTTTCATTAGAAAGTACCAATATCTCAATTTATTCTTGTGCAGTTTGCGATAAAACAATTAATTTCAATTTAATATCGTTCTATACCATTTAAAGTATCAAAATATTAATACCGTCATTAAAATTGCCTATTTAACTGTGAAGCATCAATTACGCCAACTACAGTCGACCATGATATTTAGGAGCTACGCTAGACCTCTTATGACGTAATTAGCGGAAACGATTAGAGTTGAGCCATGCATGCACTATATTTAGAAATATCTTTGTTCTAAATGATTTTAATACTTATAATTCAAGATAATGTTTTTATTTGTTTTCTTTAATTTTTTAGTACTTAAATAAAATTATATTGGATACAAAGGATTATTTAACAATTTTAATCAGTGAAACGTTACAGATAGAGTTGGCGGACAGACATCTGTAGGATATCATCGTTAATTTGTAATTGCAATTTGTTGAAAACCATGCAAAGAATATTCTGGATACAGAAGGATCAGATTTCACAGATCATAACCTTATAAATGGGTTAGTGTTTTGTTTTCTTAATAAAACACAGCTTATTGTTAGTTTATGACTGGTAGATATCATCACTTGCTTAAAGAATAAAAGAAAAGCAGCTTTTCAAGTACAGTAGGTCTACAGCTTGCAAGGTAAGGACAGTTTATAGTTATTGTGACTCTTGCTTTATTTTTGTTACAGTTATATTTTAGTTTACATATTCAGATCATCAAAGTATTTGTTCGGAGTATTCAAATAAATAACACATGGGTCTGTGAGTAACAATAAAAATATCATCCCTCGTAAAAATACTGTTACCCTCGGCTACGCCTCGGGTAACAGTATTTTCCTCGGGATGATATTTTTACTGTTACCCACAAACCCATGTGTTATTTATATACAGTTACCTATGTAACAGTACAACATTCTTAGTCACGTGGTGCACTTGCAATAACAGTAAGAATAACTCCCAGTGGCCTATAGGAAATTAACATTACAAAAAAGTGAGGGGTAATAATAGAATATATTATACTACACAATTGCTGTTTGGCGTTGAACTTGTATATAGACATAATGTTCTCACAACAGAACGAATCATTTCAGCCTCATGTCATTTTGTAGATATCAAGATTTTATTTGTCTTTAACTGAAGCTAAATGTCATAATTACTATTTGTGTCTTGATATTGACAGGTGATGGAATAAAATGTTCTATATATTAATCGTTTTAGTCTTTATTGTTACAATACATAGCACAAAACAGAACAACCCCAGTATAAAACTTTAAACGGTTCATTGATTTAGTTTTATTTTCCTACTTTTAATATCTTTGCATGCTGTAGTTATCATTTACGTTTAATACTGTACAATTCCTTTTCAGCATAGTTCAAATATACGATGTGTGTCCGTAAAATTCCCGGACGATTGTTTATTTGAAAAGAAAAATGTTGATAAATTTCAAAAAGAAAATAAGCTACTCTATTTCCTTCCATATTTCCACTATCATGCGCAATTTTATCCAATTCTATGCATTATGTACAAAATTATTAAACAATATACATCTACATCATCTTCGCATCGGCCCGAGTGACAACGACGTTTTGAAAATAACAACGTTAACGTTCACTCTTTCTCTCAAAGTAGCGTCCTTCTGCTGTAATACATTTTGGATGACGCATCACCAACGACTGAAAACATTAAAAAAAACATTCTTTACCAAAATATTGTACAATTCGTTGTACGGGAGTCTGTAGTTCACAAAATGAATCGAATCGGATGCCTCGTAATTCTGCCTTGACACTTGGAAATAGTGCAAAATCGAGCGGCGCAAGATCCGGGCTGAAAGGAGCGTGTTCTAGGCGGTCAATACCGAGGACATCAAGCTCAAGCTAAGAGTAGTGTGATACATGGCACGGTGCTTTGTCTTGGTGAAGCAATACATTCCCAGTGCTGTCAGCCATGTGTGGTCGCTTCTTCCTGAGCACACGAAGCATGTCACTATAATGACTAATATATATCAAAGAAAAAATTAATCCGGCAAATGATGACAAAATCTAAAAAAATAAGATTTTCAAATAATAGTATTGAACAATTAATTGGTAATTAAATAGTATTTTTATATTATTATCTTTATCGATAATTGACGATTATTTCATGCCGATTTTGCCAAAAAATATGCAACAGTCATATTTATTAAATTACAACATTTTAATTTATACATGTAATAATAATTGTTAGTTTTTTTATGTTATTCAATGTAATATCTTATATGTCTTACCCACAACCGCCTTTTAGTATGATGCTACCCCGGTAGCCCGCCGCCAATGGCAGCAAGCTTTGGTGTCCCTTTCAAAATTCCATTTTAATTAGTTCCGCCCATTGTTTTCTTGTTTAAGGCACACGCTTTTTATTATTTGGGGACCATACGCCGCTTTTCATGGAATGGCACGAAAGTGTCATGTACATTGAAGGTTCCATGATAACCGCCGTATGAACACATCTGCAGATGTATCTAAATTCAAAATTTTACTACTTCATGTCTAAATTTTGAATTCTGCTTAAGCCGGTGCTAGGGGGCGTGGACGGTATACTAACTTGCACTTTCCAGTACCGTCCATGAACAGGCTCAATCAAACCGAGCCTGCAACATTTTCATTTTTGTCGTGTTGGGCTTTCGTTAGGGATTCTGCATTTGTCTATTTTTTGGGTTCGTACCTCCCTGGGCAACTGAGTTACTACAAGACGTCAAACATATCGAAGAATAAATGAAAACTGTGGATAAAATAGAAAAAACGGTAAATATGATAAACTCTAAGGTTGTTGATCTTGAAACAAAAATGAAATCTATGAATACTCGATTAACTGACACCGAAAAGTTCAGTGATTTTCTCACAAAAGATAACGACTCAATTAAATCGGAGATGAAGGAGGCACGAAACGAAATGAAAAATTTACGATCGTCATGTAAAACTATTCAACAACAATCAACCGAGTTCCTCGCGCAAAAAAGTGGACTTGAGGAACAAATTACGAACCTCGAAATACAGTCTCTTCAAAACAACCTCTAGCACTGCGGTATACCGTACCCCGGATATTGCTCGGTATAATGAGGACTTTCATCCCATTTCGCGACTTTGAACGAGGACAGAAGGTAAGTTCAGTGACGATATTTAGTCATTTTGAATTGGTCTGATATAAATTGTATAGAAAAACAAATACTTCGATAATTTCTCTAGTTACTGAAAACCCAAAAATGTTGAGAAATAGCCTTGAAATGTAATTAAGGAGGTAAAATTCGTCTCTTTGCCAACGTGATAAATGAGCCTCGGATCAGTCAAAATTTGGATTTTTTGGTGCATATACTTCCTTAAAAGAAAAACTTGAATCGAGTGAAATGTGATTAATGCATGATGATAATGTTTATGTTGTAAATGTTCAATTCAACAATAGAACCTCAGATGACAGTGCATTTTGGAAGAATAAATACGCAATGTCACGTGTACCGGAGTAATTGCATGGAGTTGCCGCCGTGTCACAGAGTATTTGCTTTTTAGTGTAACGAGTTATTGGTTATCAATATAGAGTAAATGCAAGTAGTAAAGCAAAGAAGTATTTTACGCACATTTAATTAATCTTAAATATTCTTAATTGTGTATACTTATTTACACTATATGTGCAGAAATAGGCAGAGTTCGGGGGTACTTCCACTGGGATACATCTGCGAATAATCCAGATTTTCATTCCTGCTCATAAAAAATCTCAGTCGAACGAACTCAGCAATTTTCTGCGTTTACAAATTTCTCGTTGCTATCGAAGGGTCAACCTTTCCAGAATTTGTTAATAATTATTGCATATCTTACTTTAAATAGTAAAAAAATGCATCCAAAGTGCATTAATGCTGCCTCAAGATTGTAATTAGTAGACGGTATTGAGCAAGTGTGTGTCACGGTTCAGAACTGTTCACTAATTCCTAGGACCCTCGGAATACCGTACCGCGGCTCTACCGACTGAGCTATCCGGCCGCTTACTCATCATCACCCCGAAATAGTGAACAGTTCTGAACCGTGACATGTGCCAATATCTATTATCAACCGACTTCCTACTATGCCAAAAATCCATATAAAGATAACTTTCGGTCATTTTGCACTACTCTAGCAACGGCAGACCGACTGCACGTGAAATTTGTAACGTCATTAGCAATGAGTTACCGTATGACTGCCGAGCGGGTACAGCTAAAAAAACGAATAATGGATTTTAATAAAATTATGATAAAGGGCAGCAGATGCAATAAAAAGGTTTTGTTCCTTATAACCTTTCACCTCATAAAGGCGTGTTTTTGAAGGCTTTACACCCCACCCCTTTTGAGGCCTTAAATGGTGTAAAACATGCGCTATTTAGGCACCAAACACTGTTTTTCTTTGTTTTAGAAATGTTGTTCAAAAGAGTGATCACTTTTTTGGTGCCACCCCCATTAAAGAGGTACATCAAGGGTGTACCACAGGGGGGGGGGGAGAGATGTGCCCCCTTCTGTTTGGGGTTTGAAGTGGGGCAGTAGCCCCTCTAATCGCCGCGAAGATTTGGGACTTGTGGGGGAGGGGGGCTAAAATGGTCTCAAGTCGATTTAAAGGTACCGTGTAATCAACGCCGAAAAGCCTTAGACTTTATCTCAATCAATTGAGAAGTTGCTGCACCTTGAAACCAGTTTTTATTGGGAAAAACAACGCAAAATAGAGATTTTTGGCAATTTTGAGACGTCCCCCAGTTGCCATGGTAACTGGAAATTTAAAATTGAGCATGCTATTCACAGGCTATGGTCCACCAGTTTGATCAGTATTGAAGCATTTTTTATAGTTTCATAGCAGTTTGAACTTGTAACAGGGGGCTAATTTCAATGAAAACAACCATTTTTCGCCACATGCTTATGCAGTAAAAGGTTAAGACGATACCGGCATGCTTGGACGGCATAAGACCACGGGCCAATATTTTACTGTGTCGATGTGTTTCTATAGGCAAACTTGTCCTGTAAAACCCTATTATTAATGTCATCTAAATATGTTTTTTATTCTTCTTCTTTTCAGAGATGGGTCTCCTTGATCACAGTTTCTTGAGACATGTATTTTAAGATTTTGATCGTCAATTTTGATGGTTCTACCCTGCTCCAGACCCTGCTTTCGACCCTGCGCACATTTTATTTCATCAATAGTGTGATTTTCAATCGAATGGGAAATTAAATCTCTGTATTTGCCCGTAGAAAAAAAGAACAGTAATAACACTGAAAATGCATTGTTGAATCTAAAATATTTGAATAAATATCATATAAACAGTACATTATCAGCAAAATAAAATGGAATCGATGAGCAGACGTAAAAAATAGACAAAAAATATCGATTTTCCATACTAATATGCTCATTCTGTTTTGCAATACACTGTACACTTAAGTTGGGCTATTTTGCAATACTCTGTACACTTAAAATCAATACTCGGTACACTTTCTTGTATCTTTTTTGGCCTGTATCTTTTTGTACTTTCACACTTTTTGCCTGTAATTTGGACAAAGCATACTTGGATTGTGAATAAAAAAAATTCGATTCAATTTTTTTTTATATTGGTTATATAATAATTTCTAAGGATTCTACAGTATCGCGGTCAGTATTTTCTAGTGAGCAGCGGATCGTTTAGGGGTATTTTAATAAATTTTACAAATACCTGTAATACTTTTATGTCTTTAAGAGCTACAAAAATGCCTCTAGATATATAAAACTCTTTTAGA